AGAAACAAAGAGAAACAGGGACACAGGAGAGCAGCGGTACAGGCATTGAAAGCTTTCACATTTACTTTTTGACACCAATCTTTCCTCTGACCCTGGCATAGCTCCTCAGTTACATTACCCTTGTCTAAACCATAGCTCGTGATGTGGCATCACCACGCACTACATGCGTTACCCAACGGCTTTCAGAAGATCAGGTTACCTGGTGTTAAAAATGAAGTAATTACTTCAAAAATAGAGTACTGGCATAGCATTCTGCATGTCTGTTATTAAAAATTGATAGATTTGCACTACAAGACAACTAACATGCACTTTCTTATAAACCCCAGCAGAGGCAAGACACAAACTGCTTTTCCCCTGAGGCAGTGAACTCCTAGTCTTCCTTCTGCCTTTGCAGTGGCACAGACAGACCCGTATGAGCCAAAACTCTGTGTAAGAGCCAACACCTGACCCTATCCTCAGTATCACCTGGCCAGTTTCTTGCAGTAAAGACAGGGTCAGACCGAGTATTTAGCTGTCACACCTTGAAGCCTATTCATTAAGGAACCAGGTCAACGAATTTGAAAAAGGAACTTGTAACTTCTGCAATTTATGATTTGAAGGGCACAGCTTCTCTGGCATCCTTAGGTTCTTGAAAGACAAATGACCTTGCACTACTACTCCTAAGATTTAATAATGTCTTGCATTGACCAGGTAACAGGCAGTCTAGGAGATGAAAATCACCACCTATTTTTTCTGGGAGGTGACCACAGGACACAGATTTTAAGTTCAGTGTCAAGTTCAACTCAGCGAGTTACACCAAACGTTAACTTGATCCTTTTAGTGAAACTTTGTCTTGCAACCCTGGTCCATTCTACTCACATGTACAAAGTCTTTTGTATGAAGACATAGGAATTCATTAGATTTTATCATCTATCTGGACCTTAAATAATTACTGAATCCAATCTTCTGCCCCAACATCTCTCTCTACAAAGCATCAGTTTGATTTATTCTCTGTTTTGAGTGGAGATACCTTTAGTCATTAGTACTTAGCCATGTTGTCACAGGTGAGCCCTGTCCTCTATATTTAAACTTGAGTGGTTTTTGACTTGGCAGAGGTGACCTCCCTATGGTAACTTCGTTGGCTGGCATAAAAACAACTCGTCTATCAGAAATCCTGTACTAAAATAACTGCAGGCCTTAGTCCTCTGAGGAAAAGCTCACAGATGGCAAGCTTCTGATGCTCATCAGAGCCAGCTTCTGTGACAGGCAAAAGACGATGAGCTGAAGTAATGTAACCCAAGTCTTCCCTCTTAACACAATCTGTCACTCTTCCTTCTGCACATCACGCGTACCTTGGCTGCTGGTTTAGGGAACCTCTCTTGGTAAAACTCCCAGACCTTTCCTGGGCACTATGTAAAAACTGGAAAAAAAGAGCAGCAGCCCAAGCTACCAGTGTGTATTTTCCTCAGCACATTAACCAAAAAGACAACATGCACTGACATTTTAGTAACAGAAAGCATGGAATACGTCACAAGAACGTGAGGCTACTGCTGGTGTAGGACGGGGTTGTAACTGTTTATCTGTGCATCTTCAAGCAGCAAGGAAACAAAATCAACACTTCACCGTAGCTAGGTTGCCTTGGAGAGCAGATCCTCTCATCCCTGTTCAGAAGCACTAACCCCCACGCTGGGCAGGACAGGAGTGATTAAACTCTAGCAGCCTGCAGCTGGCTCTGAACAAGAAAGTAAAAGACAAGCCTGTACCTAGGGGCCCCACCAGCCCAAGAGTGTTTTATTTGAACCTCTGTGCACAAATTAAGGGGGTCTTAGTTGGAGCTAGTGCTAATGGAGCTGCACAAAGATGAGCTCCCTAACACGCACACACTCACAGAGCTACGGTCCTGCCAGCCACCAGTCCTTGTGGTCTCTCCATGTTCAGACGAGCTGCACAGCACCCCACTCACTTCAGAAGGTATGGTCAAACTTTGTGCTGTCTACCTAGGGGCCGTAAAGACACAGTTCAGTGACACCCACACTGCCACCAGTGGCATGGCTGAAGCATGGATAGGTATACCCACATCAGCTTCACTTCAGTACAGAAGACATTGTTGTAAGAGCAGCAGCATAGACTTCATCGGGATTCTCAACTTGAGTACATTCACAGGGTCTGCAGCAGGCCAAGACAGCCCACGCTGAAATCTGCTCTGCTTCATCTTCACAGAGAAATGACAGACTACCAAGCTGCGCTGCTATTTCCTCTTTAACTGCATCTAAACAATCTCAGAGCTGAACTCCCACACTCACCTCCATCAGAAGAGAGGCAACTGTCCTTCTAGATGGTCCTGCCCACCTTCTCCTCTTCTACTGCACCTCCCTTCTGTTGTCATCCTTTTTAGGATGGTGTCCTACTGACCACAGTGACCATCTGCAAAGCTCCACAGGAACCAAAGAATGCACAGAAAGACAGACCTGAGTCCCTTATGATTTCTAGTTTCCTGAATCAACTGTACTTTTAAGTCTGCTAATTCTTTCAGAAACAATCTCACAGAATTAGCTCATCTGGATTTCTTGACCAGACACTGCAGCTGGTCAGAAAATCCAACCCATCACTTAACTGTGATGGAAAGCATTGAAATGACACTGGAGATGGCTACTTCATGGTGCCCATTACAGCACCTTGCTAAGAACCAGTCTTCTTACTCGTCTGCATAGATCAAACACACACGTATGTTCAATACCCTGAGGCCTCTCTTGGAGACGCTAGAGGTATGCCAAATCCCAGCTACTTCTGCTCCATTCTTTCTCTGGGCACAAGTATCACAAAACAGCCTGAACTCTTCCCCACGTTGTGACTGCAAAGAGCGGATGACCTATCTGGACATACGGACTGTGCTCAGTACGGTATGGTGCTTGTAACAGGAGCTGCACAGACTCCCCGTGCCAGGGAGAGAAAAACGTTCAAAGTCTTCAGTCTATCTGAGCAGCTTATATGATTCCCCACTCATCTGACAAAGTTGCTCTTCTCAAGGCTTGCGTGGGGGAGGACAGATCTGAATGCTACAGCCAGACCCTCTGCAACTTCCTCCTGGGTTTATGGGCGACGCAATCCAGCAGAAGTCCCTGGTACAAACGTTTGCTTCGGCAGCCTCAGAACCCAATGCTCCCTCCGAGGGTAGCAGTCTCCCATACAAAGGAGCACTTTTTACCTTCTAAGCCAATTCTCTGTACAGTTGGAGGTAAAACAATTACCTCATTACAGTCGCACACCAAATTCCCTTCTGGTGGAATTCACATCAGCACTACTGCAACTTTATAACATTTGCATTATAAAAATGTCTGCAAAGGAGGCCAAGAAAAACAGCTTTTTGTTCAGAGGAAGCTCTGTGGTCAAGATGATGTCATCAGAAAGCGCCAAATTAATTTCCTGTGGTTACATCCTACAGGAAATCCAAGCAGCTCAGCTTTCTTGCTAAACCAAGTAGTCATTTGTTGTCAATAACTGTTAATTATGTGCCCAGATGTGTCATGAACTAAGAGCTATCACGATTAGCCTTCATTCCTCCCAGACCGACCGTTGGGATCTGTTTAGATCAGCGGCCTGAAGTCAGTGAAATGCACCAGCACTCGCTTCCCCGGGCCAGCCCAGGGGCTCTAGGGCGCACAGACTGCTGCGCTCGCGCCACATGCCAACACAGCGAGTTTCCTGCGATTTCCTTCAGCCCCCTTCCCACAATGGCGGGACCTGCTGCTTAGAGAAACACCACAGAGGAGGAGCAGCTACGTAGATTAGACTCTTAGCAGGAACAGGGACCCCTAATCAAGAAAACTATAAAAACAATGAGTAACAGCTTTTCTGCTCTGCATGAACAGAAACAAGGAAATCGGGAGTGATTCAGGAGGTTTTCCAGCTGGTAAAATAACCATGAAAACGTCTAGCAGGTCCCTCCCCCAGTCACAGTCCTTCCACAACCTACAGAAAGACGCATCTCTCCAAGGCTTACTTGATATTTAAATTATAAAATAACACTTCACTAAGCACTTAGCTAATTCAAATGGATCTTTTCAACGACTTCTCAGTGAGAAACTGATCTCCCCCAGTTTTCAGATCTCCCCAAAACCACTTGCATTTACATGAATTCACACCTGCCCTGCTGCCTCTAGCCACTCCCTTCACCTGCCATGCAACCCACAAGCCCTCCATTTTCCAATTCACAGCAGAGGGGAATCCACTGGAGGGGGGTGGGAATAGCTTTTGTATCTGTAGCTTGCACTAAAATTATAATTCTGTCCTTACAGTGAACTTTCAGTAGAAATCTCTTGGGACAGACTCTTCAGTCCATGCAGCATGCTTCCCTGGCCTGGCAGGGAGCCCAGCATAACACCTCGAGAGCTGAATAGTAAATGGTCAAGGCAAATCAGATCCAGTCCAAGCAATCCCTACACTTTACAGAACATTGCATTTTCAGGTTTGCATGGATTCTTTTTCTTTTCAGTATTTCTTAAACAAAGCATATTTTATGTGAACGTTCAGGATGTTAGCTCATTACTTGTCTGGAAAAGGCACAACATAGGATGCACCCTAATAGAGTTGGAATTGGCAGCATCTGTATCACAGGGAAAACAAGAGCTGATGACAGCCAGGGCTCAACTGCAGAGATGTTGTATTGACACCTACTCAGCAATAGCTTCTACCCTCAGACCCTAGAGCCTATGCACTGGGGGCAACATGGATGGGAAGGGAGAGGGAGACAGAACGACTTACTCAGAGCCACATGGAGACTAGAGGCAGGGAGAGGCAAAAGGACAAACCAGCATCCTGCCACCCTTGCTTACATACTGTATCTGCTAGTACAAACAATTTCCTTAACAAAAGGCAAGTGAACGGCTGGGAAGAGAAATCACGTAGCTTCCAAATTCTCAGAATAATGGGGCAGACGGACAAGGCTTCTTGGCATGTTCGTTTCTTTCTAGAAAACCACACAGTGCTGACTCGCAATTCAGTCTATTTAATAAGCTTCCTACCTCTCTGTCCTTGAGTTTCATGGCGAGCACCAGCTGATGTCTGTGGTTAGTAAGGGCCTCCCGGTAATTTCCTTTGGAGAAGAATGCGGAGCCCAGATTGGCATTCTCCCGTCTGGTCACCTGAGTCAAATGCAAACAAAACAAAGGTTAGCTAACAAAGGCGATGCTGGAAGCGTCCAACAGAAAGACTGGAACGTGCTGTACAAGTGATGCTGCAGTGTAAGAACCAGCATCAGAACAAACTCATCCTTATGTTTAATACACAGCCAAAATTCTCCTCTTTGCTGGTCTTCAGAAACTTCTACAAGAGCCATCAACCTTATTTTTAGAATTGTTTTGATTTCTTCTTTGGCCTAACACTTGGCAATTTCCCATTCTTCCATGTTTATTCCTTGCTTGACATTAGCAATTTATTTGTGAAAGTAAGTCAATGGCCCAGGCTTAAAACAAGCAAAGAGCATACCAGCTTTCTCCAGAAAGCAATTCTGCAGCACAGCTCAGCTCAGACACAAAGCACATCCACTGCTGTCTTCAAGACAGTAGTCCCTATACTTTCAGCAAACTCTCCTAGCTAGAGCCCTCAGTCACTATCTTCTCCACCTCTGCAAGGTTATGTCTTTCTGTCTCACATACTGTCTCCTCTCCTACAGCACCCTGAAAGCTTGAAAGCTCTCAGTGTTGTGCAGGACATAATGTACACAAGAGGCATTTTCCGATTTGTTAATTTTTTAAACCCTCTTGTTTATCCATTGTCTCACTCCTGATTTGACATGAACCTGGCAACTGCCTCAGAAGCTCAGAAGCTCAGAGTACCTTATTCCATCTAATTCTTGAAACAATAGATTGCTTCATTTAAGACTCATTGAAGATTTTAAGCCCAAGACTACACAGGGGATAAGACCAGTTCCCACATACATGACACCAGAAAATTAGAGGACCCTGTAAAACCTCAGCACGTTCACTGATCATCTGCCCCCTCACATGCATAGGTAACAGGGCTGCACAAGCCTATAGTTTGCACGTTTCAGAAATTTCAGATTTGATTTCGCAGCTTGTGAAATCCCACAGAAACCTGAGCATTACAGAGAGTTACTGACCATTAACACAGCTATTACTTTGTTCCATCTGTACCAATCAAGCAAGTGAAATGAGAACTGTTACCTAAAGTCTTGGCTACGTCCAAGTCCTGCTGCATGTATCCAGTGCTTTTCTCCGTATTCCCAAGGGACCAGTACGCACTGCTCAGTGCAGAGAACACTGATCCCCGCAGCTTTAGGCTGCAAGTGCCAATCTTCAGGGCAGCCTCTAGCACCACCACAGAGGCCCCGTGGTGACCCGCAGTCAGAAGTTCCTGGCCGATCACAGACACCACAACAAAGGGGCTCTTGTCCAACTTCATCTTCTGCAGTTGTTGATAGGTGGGCTCCAGGGACTCTGAAATACAAAGACGAAGGCAGAGTTACTCAACAAACCAAGTTATTTGCATCTAGAAATCACCTTCACAACTCATCTTCATTTTCTGGTAATCAAATGACAGGCGAGTTAAGGGCCAGACTACCCAAATCAAACCAAGATTTATTATGGGAACTCAGGGCTCAAATGCATCATCTAATACCTAGTACATCAATACAGATCAACAAGCAGGCCGATGTTTTCCTTGCAGAAAGCACTTCAGGAAGACAGCACAAGCATGCAGAGCCTTCTCATACTGAGCTCTGAAGACTGGCCTAATGGCAGAAGGAATACAGAAGACACCTGTAGAGTTTTGCAGGAAACTGGAAATGGGCCACCAGCAGTGTGTAAGAGCGCTGCAGTTTCTACTCCTTCAGCACAAACTTTCAGCTGAACGTCTGCAAAAATCTGTGCCTGTCCAGATACCAGAGCACACAACATGCGCCAAGAGAGGTGAAAAAAACTGCAGAAAGAAGCTGCTCCTCCTTCTGCAGAATGACAGCACTGGACCTGCCAGACTACTTATAATTGGTCTAATTGGTTCCATCATTCAGATGATAAAACATCTTGGATGCATGTTTCAATAAGGACGTCAATATAACAGGACTCCTGAATCTGATGACCAAGTGGCATTTCTTGATTAGATGATCTCACCTGAATCAACACTACCACAACAACCTCAGAAAGCCACTTGCTCCCTATTTTCATCATTTCTGCCTTTCCACAATCACCAAGTGCATAAACAACAACAAAAGAGGATTTTAACGCTTCCCTGAAGACGCAAACAGTGTGAACACAATGCCAGTTACCGACATCCAATTAGATCCTGAGATTAAATGCAGATGTAAGAGGACAGAAATAGTCGCTGTAACATGCCACCACTTATCATGCTTATACCTGCAAGAGCAGGTACGAACTCAGTTCCTGTTTTAAGGAGCTTACTTGCGATCCTAGCCAGGTAATCCAAGCAAACATAGGGAGAGAGAGGGGTACAGACAAGGAGAAAGGAAAAAACAAGAAAAACACAAGGGAAGTCCTCCTGGTAACTGTAAAATCCAGTAGGAAAGGGAGAACTAGCATGGTAATAGAAGGGCAGACATAGAGTTCATTACTGCTCTTGTACAGCAGCAAACAGTAAGGGAAGAGACACAGCCACAACCAGGTGAAAGATGCAGCAACAGCGATTCGGTTACCGGGGAAGGGAATTTCACCTTCATCTCTATGTACTGCAGACCCATGCTCCCTGAATCCTTCAGTGTCTGCATGTAACAATCTTTAGCACACCACTGACACTTACAGCCCTTTTGCCTTTCCAGTTGCTCCTCTTCTTTCTCTGCATGCAAGCACCCTGGAAGCTATCACTCACATCAGTCTATCCATGGCTTCAAACAATCTATTATCCTAGTGGAATCAAGTTACAAGGGACTGACCCAGAGAGATCTTCTATGTCTCTCCTAGACAGTGAGCTCTTGGAAAGGGGACCAGAACAATACATAACAACTACTTAAGTGTTTGCAAAGTGCCTAGCACAGTGGGATGGAGACCCTGACTATTCATTACAGTAGTACAGTATATACAAACTCTCAAAGTAAAACTAGTACTTAAGCGAGGCTAATCTAAAATCTGCCAAACCAGTCAGTGGAAGGATAACAATTGGAAAGCAGCAAGGCTGAGAAGCACAGCAGGGAGCAGCAGTATAAATATACAGCTGCAGTGCAATAGGACAGCGAGATCATCTGGCCAAGTTTGGGGATGCTTACATAGAAATACCACATCACCTGCATTCTAAGCAGCAGCCACAGCACCTTTGGCTACCAAATGAAATTAGCTTCACACAGTAACTGCTATATAGGACAGAAACTTCCAGATGAATTCATTTTAGAGGATGGAGAAAAACACTGTAAAAAAGGAAACACCAATGGGGATGTTTTTTCATTTCAGCACTTCTTGGCCCACAAGCCCTGGGGTTCCCAGCAGCATCTGCTGAGGATGAGAACTGCCATGTTCCCTCCTGGGAAATACCATTAGGACATTGCAACACAAAGCTTGCAAGAGAAACAGATCAACAGAGAAACAGAGCAAAGAGGAGACTACCTCCTTCCTCTAGAGAGGAAAATCCTGGAAATGGGGACATTATGAAAGAGAGGCAAAATTCTGTACAGCTAATATGGCTTCAAGGTCCATTTGATTTCAACACTCTTCCTGAATATAACTGAATTAACAGAGCAGCCTTTTGCCTTCTGGAACACTGTGTTTTGAGAGACATTAGTACCGTGGAAAAGCTGCTGATATGCCATTTTGGGCAAACACTGGCCTGGAGCATTTAAGACTCCCTGTTCCCAATGGCCAAGCACCAGAGCACTGTGGGAAGTTGTTTCAAGTAATAATAAAGCCAGGGCCACAGTAGCGCACACCTCGTTTTCTGCACTGATACTGGACAAAAGGCAAATGAGCAAGGACTTCATTTGAACTGCTGCACAGCACCAGTCTGATTCATCCCCAGTGCCTCTTGAGCCAGGTATCACCATCTCACTGTCTCACTGAATCAGAAGAGTATTTTTTTGTTCCTCCTCCTGCTTTGGGCTCCTTTGTCAGCACCTGCTGACTCAGCAGAGAAGTCAAAGCCTGAAATCTTTCCCTTCAGGCCTCCAGGTTTTCCCCCCTCAGATGCTGGCAGTCACCCATGGACTGAAACTACCGCCTTTAAGTACCTCAGCAGCAGATCACCATCCTTGAGAAAAATCTCCTGATGCTTACCTCGCATGGGAGATTTCATGGCGGCCTCGACCATGCCAACCAGAAGCTGAAGACTCTTGGGATCTTGAGCCAGTCCCGACGCAAATGCTGCCAGTGCATCTGCATGACGTCCAAGATACTGAAGGGCCACACCCTGTCGGAAGTATGCCTGAAAAGTCAAAGGGAAGAACAAGAAATGCCAATTACTTAATTGGTAGAAATCACAAATAACAAATCTACCCATGACCTTGTGCTGGTGGATGCTGGGCAACACAATCACATCCTGGCTTCTTCAGTCATGCTGGCTATAATCAGAAAAATCCAACACCACAGTTTGGTTTCTGACTGCCACCCAGTCACTTATCCCCATGGTGCAATGACTTTCTCAACCTTTGCAAGGCCTCTGAACTGTTCTGGAGACCAAGGATGGTAATTACTATTAAGGCAAAGCTTTCCCCTTGGACTTGGCCAATTACTTATTCTTATCTGCTTATATCCAAATGCTCATTCTCAAGACCTCCATTTCTGTTCACTTGACTCACACAGCATACAAATAACTTGCTTCCTTTCTCATTTTTTTTAATTTAAACATCTAGCACTAGCAGAGACCAAAATGTACTGAAAGCTCAAGCTGCAATGAAACACGATACAAAGATCCAGACAGGAGCTGTATATATATCATAGAATACAAAATCATTTAGGTTGGAAGAGACCTTTAAGATCAAGTCATATGCACTACTTATATTGAGGCAAGACGCTCATAATTTTGAACATGTTTACAAGAGCATTTTTCCTTGTTTCTTCCTTTCCAGGGAAACCATTCATGGGAACATGCAATACCTTCAAAGCAACTTAAATCTCTTGTCACCATGCATTTCCATTTCTACATCAGCAACCACATCACTATGCAGCTGCAAAGCATTTCCAAACAGAGCTTACACATCTCCCTAAATTTGGGTACCACGAACCTACACACAAAGCAAGAACTGCAGAAACATGTTCTACTTGCACATAAAGCAATGGCAAAGCCCCAGCTCAAAGGGTATCCAGAACTTCCTTGAGAGCTACTGGGTAAGAGATCACAGAAAGCACAATCCAATATTTATTCAAAGTACTCAGGTATATTTGTAGCACATACATCTGGACACTATGCTACAAAAAGGTCTTGAATCGTTGGGCACCTTTGATGCCCACTATCCAGGTTTTATCTTCATGCCCAGCTAATAACTTTCTGATGCAAACTTTTCTGCACTTTTGGTTCATTCAAAGCTATTTCAAAAGCACAAATAAAGCTACCAGAACAGAAAATAAAACATTATTTGTATTTGTTTAAAAGTGCTTTAAGAACATGATATGGCTCCTTGACATTGGCTCCTAGTATTGCTTTCATGGATAAGACCTCATCGCTTTTTCTCTCCATCTGTAATAGAAACCTGCACTCAAGATACATTAAGTATACTTCTGTGGAAGTCTTTATACATAAATGGGATAAATCTCCAATTAATATCCAAACTGGTATTTCATTAGAGCTTTCAGACACTTTTGGAATCCAATGCAGAGAGGCAGAGATTAAGGAAAATCAGAAGTGACATAAGAAATTTATAGACATGAATATTTAATCTCTTTTCCATTAGTAAGCCTTGATTGTAGAACCACTTTTAATGAATTCAATGAAAGCAAAATTCTTTTCATTAACCTTTAGTATAAATGTGTTCTTATTGAACCAAACAACCTACTGTACCAGAAACCCAATTCAATGTTAATTAGATTACTAGCATGAAGCTTTAAATCAAAGAAAATACAAAGACCTAACAACACGCAGCGGCCATCAGGCACGAGTCCTCCCAGCAGTGAGCGAGCTGTCACCTAAATCACGGCGTACAGTTAAGTCCTTTTTTCCCCCCAGAATTATCATTTAATTACTTACTTTACCACCTGATGACAGAGGCAGTTTGACACAGCACGTTGCTGATGGAGACCTTTCCAGCCAACAAGGTTATCAGTTATCAAGGCTGAGGGCACAAATACGCAGCAGCCAGCAAGGGAACTTCGTATTGTGTGTAGGCGTCTCCAACATCTCATGCTTTACAGGAAGGTGGGAGCCTGCCATCTCCTCTCTCAGAACGCGTACTACCCGGACAGATGGCACATCAGGGAACACGCAGCTTCCTCACCACTGCACACAGTCAGCTAAGCCCAGAACCCCAAAATTCACTTGTATACAGGGTTTCAAGGAAATGGCAGGAGGGAGACGGATGCTACGGCACTGCAGACAAGCCTCCCACAGCCTACAGAAGACAGGAATACTACGGCTTGTTTCCAAGGTTCAGAAGGGACCATGTAGTGCAATCCTCTCTCACATCCCATCCTATACACACAAAGGCTGTAGGACAAGAAGTAACATATGCTTCAATTATATGTACAGCAACAACTAGCTTTCATGTGTCCCATGAAGGAAAATGGCCCCTGTGAGGAAAATGGAGAAAAAGCAAGCAAAACAAAACACGGGTGAAGCCTTTGCCCTACTTCCAGTTCTCATACAGAAATCCAAAATCCAAGTGAACAACAGTTCCCAGCTGGAGAAAACAAACCACAGGTGCAACATCACAAAACGGGGGGGGCAGGGGGAAGGAAAAAAAAAGAAAGCCTGGCCATGAGTCTCGGAGCACTTTGCAGAGGAGTAACAGTCCTGGTTTGCTCACCATTGCCTGCCCAAGAACTCTACCACCCTCACTGCAAGAGAGGGGCCCTGCCTAACTGGGATGCACCAGTGGCTGCAGCAAGGACACTGGTTTCTAGCACCTGCCCGTCCGACCCTGTCACTTTTGTGGAGCACTGAGCACACCTCAAACACTGAGAAAACGGAGTCCTCATCCCCTGAGCTCTGCATACAGAGGAGACACCACAGGCTCCAGATGACAGAAGAAAACAAGACAGGGATGAGATTCACAAACAGCATGCAATTCAGCACCATGCATTTCCAGCATCCTTTCTGGAAAGTTTTTTTTATCCCCTCTTCACATCTATTCCTGGAAATCCCCCCTGGAAGCCACTTAATTTGAATACAAACACAGCATTCAGAGCCCAAAAGAAAAAACTATTAATCGTAACTGAAAGAAAGATTTTTGGCCAATTTTTCTCCTGCAAAACCCCCTTCCTTCCTTCCTCCTCCAGTTTCCAGTGTATACAGAACGCTCTCCGCACATTGTGTTCCCCAGAGACCTTTAACAAATAAATAAAAAGCATTCACATCACCTATTTCCTCCCCAAGAGGCATTCACAGGTTAGTTTAGCATTGGAATGAAGACACCGTATCAAGGGAAAAAATCTGCAATGAGGAAATGGTGAGAATCACCCTTTGGAAGAGGAGAGGAAAAGGAAAGGCAGGGAGCCAGCAGCTGCAGCTGAAGAAATGAGACAAGGAGCTGCTTTCCAGGCCCAACACAGACAGAGTCTTCCCACGCTTCAGCGAACTTTACATTTTTAATCACACTATGTGAAGACAGAAGAGTACTCACTCTACAGTAAAAGTTACATTAATTTTCCAGTGATCCCAGGTATGAAAAAAAAATAGATTCCTTTTAAGAAGATTAAAGCAACAAGAGAATGATGTTTTGCTAAAGACAGGACAAGTGAACAGCAGGTGCTTTCTAACCTGTGGCTTTTTGCATCCTCAATGTAATACAAAGAGCTGGAACAATCTTTTTCACTTTTTCAATCTCTGCATCATACTTTCCAGGAACAAGGCATTGTGCAAAAAGAAAAGTCTTACTCTCAGCTGAAATTTGGCACTAGATGCACCTCCCTCAGTGGGAACTATTTTCTCCTCTCCTTGTGTTCGCACGAATGAGCACATGCTCTGCTGGTCCCATCTCCAGATTCACTCGCGTGCCACAGGTTAATGGCAGCTGCACCCAACCCTCCAGCCAGAGCCAACCTGGGTTCTGCACAGCGCATCTACTGATGTCTCCACTGCCAGCCCCTGGAGTAAGAACAGGGAGAGCGGGGATACGGCACTACCAGCAGGAGCCTTTTGGGAAGGGAAGAGGATTAAAAGCTAGAAGGCATCCCTACCAAACAGCGGATCTTATCAAGTCACTGATACTGAATTAGAGAGGTTGTTAGCGAGTAATCCCACACACCTATGGACCTTTAGTTCTGGGAAACCAGACCATACTGCAGTCTTATACCGTCAGTTTTTAGTCCACTGGACAACTAGCCTCCCTTCAGCCAGTTTAAAGATTTCATATAGCCACGTGGAGATGGCCTGGGAAGGAGGACAGGGAACAATTAGTGGTTTTTATCCATAATACCACTGAAAGCACTGTTGACATTCTGGAAGCAAAAAATAAATTAGTCTAATTAATTAACTTGCAAAATATATTTGGCACTTGAGACTTCAAAGCCATGCAGAAAATTGGCCCTGTAACAGAGGCTTGTCATATAGCAAGTCCAAGTACGGAACACCAGCAATCTGAAGTTGCATTGCACAGGATCCATCCAAAAGGTAACTGGTCTTCCCACCTCATTCACATTTTGCGCCCCCATTTTTTCAGACTTGCCTTTTTGCCCCATGCTTTTCAGGACATGCCATGTTTTCATGGCAAGAATATAATTTTTAATGCTTTCCTCTACCCCCAGCTTAATTTTAGAAAAATTGTATGAACAAGAGAATGCAAAAGACTTTCCTAATCGGACAATCCAATTTTACAGAGGCAGCTGATGGCTGGGCTGCAGCAGAGTCAAAGTCTGCCTAACCAGGCATAATCTCTCTCTACAATTCTAAGCACGAGTGCTATTTGTTCTGCTCAATTTATTGACCAGTGTAGTTTCCATGAAGGCTAGTATTTTTCATCTGTGTTTATTACAGCCTGTTTAACGCACAAGAAGAACTTCTATCCATCCTACTAGGAGTTGCCACTGGACGGACTGCTGCAGTGTCCAGGCAATGCAAATACAAACATGCTTATTACGTTTTTTGAGATCATCTGAGATCCCATCTAGATAACTGTCTAGACGCTGAATATTAGATTTTCACGTGCAATCTGAAACAGGGTTAGAATGTAAATGCCATCATTGAAATTGCTGATATTAAGAGGGGTTCTGACATTTTTATTAACTGTTCTAATATCAACACACAAAAACTGTTTTAGGCAGAGCAATAGTACT